CATTACATATTATTTTAGATTTAGGTTCAGAATTTAGATTTAGGTTGGGAATTTAGATTTATGTTCTGAATTTAGATTTAGGTTTCAGAATTTAGTTAGGCCCGGATTTTGGTAAATTTAAATAAATATTTGAAAAATTAGTAACTAATTTTTTAAAATTTTGTAAGTTATGTCGATATGGCTCATCGGGCTAAGAGATTTCACTACCGACAGCTCGTCGATTCTGACGGTACGGCCCCGTCTACCTCGGCGACCGGATCAGCCATCCCGGAGTCCTCGGGAACACAACGGACGGTTTCCCAACCGGTCGTTGTTCCGCAGCCGGCACCGCCTCCACCACCACCAGCCGAACCAGCGGCTCCCGCACAGGCCGATCCTGAGGCTGATCCGATCCCGCCTGTACCGTATGCCCAGTTTACGGTACAGGATCTTCTGGCGCAACCCGGTCGTGAGACCATGAACAAACTCGACCCGGATCGAGCCCCGGGCACCTTTTGGTACATAATTTTTTTCCTACAATATTTTTAAATTAATAATATTTATTCTTATATATTTGATATTAATTTACTTTTTCTCTTTCCATTTGAATAGGTTTACGACCGACAATGCAGTCGGTCGTAACGTTGCGGATATCATCAAGGGGTTTTTCGTACAACCCCATACCAGCTGAAGAAGCTGGATCAGGCCACACTTGACACTTGGTTCAAGTGTTTTGCGGTAAGTAATTTACCATTTCGTTTAATTGTAATTTTAAATTTTAACTTTTTACAAAAATTACTAACTTCTTTTTTTTCTAGCAAAACTGGCATTGGGAAACATCCGCACACGGACGTGTGGAGACGGTCTTCAAGGAGAAGATCAAATTCCGCCTTAACAACACCGTTTCCGACTGGAAACGGAAGTGGGAGGTTGACGGCGACAAGGCCAAGCCGGCGCCTATGGCCAATACCGTCTGGCGGGGCCTTGTCCAGTACTGGTTGGATCCGCACAACCAGACTACAACCGCCAAGTGTTCCTGATCTAGGTAAGTAGTTAATTTCAATAATATTAACATTATTTTTTTTCTTATAATAGATTTTAATGAAAATATTTTTCAGGAACGCTACTGATGATGCGGGAAATCGGAGGAACGTCCCGCACACTTCCGGCCAGATTCCTTTTGCCGGAAGACGGCTTATGATGGTAAGTAAATTTAAATTACTAATTTTTTTGTTTTCAAATAATTAACTCTTATTTCTCGATACTAATTAATTTTTTCATTTTGATTTTGTAGGTCGAAGATAACGGAGGAGAACTTCCTCCGATGACGAAGGTTTTCGCCGAGACGCATAAGAAGCGTAACGGCGAATTCACGGATCATCGGGCGGAGGAGATCTACAACACCGCCTGTGCGGCGATCGAGGAGCGACAAACGCAGCTGACTCAGTAGACGCATCAAACGTCTCCCGGAGGTAGCTCGGTGCAATCGACCCCGGCACTGACGGTGGCGGAGATGGACCAGATCTTCGAAGAGGTAAATTTAATTACTATATTTAATTAATGTAACTTTAGTTTTAAATTAAATTTCTAACCATAATGTTTTTAAAATATTTGTAGGTTGCCCCAAAGAAAAAGAGGCGGGTATTAGGGATGGGGTCCATCCGTGATACCCCGAGAGCTACGGCGACTGGTCACGTCCGGGTCCCGGATCCGGTTATCCGCCAGGAGATCGACCAGCTGCAGACCCGGTACGAGACGAGGATCGACCAGCTCTACGGTCTCTTCGAGATCATGGGAGCCGACAACCCGGTACTCATGGCGCAGTTGGACAAGCTGCGGGCTGATGGGGTTGTCGGATCGTCTGCCGCCGGGTCATCCACTAGGACGCAACCGCCGGTGCAGACGGACGAGGAGATGTTCCGATCTCTCGGGGTTGAGCCTCCTAGAGCCGGAGATCAGGCGCCAGCGGAAGCATCAAACCGAAGACCCGGCAAGGAACACGTCCAGGACGATGGGAAGGAGGCCGGTGACGGGATCGACGATTTAGATTTAGATTTAGATCTGTAGGGTTTTTATGTAAATAACAATTAATTTTAATTTCAAATTTTAATAAATTTTAAATTGTAAATTATTTTTTTTTTAATTTAAATTTTAATTCGAATTAATTTTTTTTTAATTTTCAATTATATTAAACGTCGTATAATCGTCGTAATAGCTTTATTAAAACCGTCGTACATTCGTCGTAAATATTACGACGAATTTACGACTAAAATGTACGACGGCAAATACGACGATTATACGTCCGTGCTTTACGACGATTTTACGACGAAATGATTAAATACTTTACGATTGATTTACGACGATTTATGCGTCGTACATTTTACGACGATCTTACGTCGACCATTAACGACCACTTAACGACGGTCCAGACGAAGACCAAGTCGACGCAATTCGATGTAAAATCGTCGTAAACTGTACGACGCATTTACGACGAAACGAAACCGTCGTATATTATACTACGATTTTACGATGATTTGTCTATTACGACGATGACTTTACAACGATTTTGAAATCGTCGGTAGTCCGTCGTAATAGCCCTATTACGACGAAATAAAGATCATTTCGGCCGTTGTAAAATGATGTTTTTCTTGTAGTGTTCATGGATTATTATCACTATCATCATGTATGATAGCTGATCATGGAAAGAAACAAGATATGATGATTAGAACCATAATCAAATAATAATATCTTTTGGTCTTGATTATCATCTACGACTGTTGAGACTGAACATAAACAAGACGATGAGGCAGGAGACGAGGCAAATATATTTCAGGTGACATTGTTCCTTTTTTTAATCATGGTGTTGTCAGGGAATGATAAAAGAAAGAGAAAAATCGAAATTGAAATTTTTTTGGAAAGTTAAAAAGGATCTTTAGATAAGTTTGTTAAAAGAAGATGCATATTTAGTTTGGATCATAATGAAAATCCTAATGATCAGCCAAGTGAAAAGTTATATGATATTGTGAATAAGCCTCCTGAGAATGTATCAGATCCTAATATTCCTCTTTTTGATATTTATGATCCTAGGAATTGGAATAATCCTGACAGTAAAACAAGGGATTTATTGATTGAAAAAGGATCTCAAAGAGAAATGGATCTTGAGTTTCTTATTGATGATAAAACTAAAAGGCATTTTGCATATAGGCATTATTCTAGATAGTTGTGTAATGGGTAGATTCATGATAGAAAGTGGTTGGTTTACTCAAAGCATGTGGATAAAGTGTATTGTTTTTGCTGTAAATTGTTTACATCTCATGGTATCTCAAGTTTGTTAGCAAACCAACCATATTAATGATCCCACAAGAAAAATGAGTATTCTTAACATCGGAAAAACGCTATATATTGATACCATGAGAGAAGTGAGGAGCATATGGCTAACATGAGGACTTGAAATGAGTTGAAAGTTAGAATTCAAGGTAATCTAACTATGACAACGAATTCTAGCAAGAGATTGCAAAAGAAAAAAAAACGTTGGAGACAAGTTTCATATACAATAATTGCAACTTTCGAAAAGAAACTTACCCTTTTGAGGATCAAGTCAGAAGCTCTATGAAGATAGTAACAGTACTTTATTAGGAATGGTTGAGATGATTTCTCAATTTGATTGGATTACAGAGTCATATTAGACACATCCATACTCATGAGATACATCATCACATTATCCTGCGCATAACATTCAGAATGAGCTGATTTCTCTTCTCGCTCATAAGGTTAGACTTTCTATCACAAGTGTTATACACAATAATTTTTTCTATTATCTTTGACTGTACACTAGATGTGAGTAATCAAGAGCAAATGAGTATAGTCATACGATGCATGAATATGTCAAGTAAAGGGATAAGAATATAAGAGTATTTCTTAGACTTTATAATATATAGTTTTTTTTTGGTAAACGACTTTATAATATATAGTTGATGATACATCGAGTTTAGGTCTCTTGAATGAATTACAAAATGCCTTTAAGTCTCTTGATCTTAATATTAAAATTGTGAGGGGGAGAATGCTATGATAATGGTTCTAATATGAAGAAATAAACCAAGGAGTTCAAAAACAATTAGTTGAAATTAATTCGAAAGCATTGTCATGTCATATGCTTGTCATAGTTTGAATCTAACTATCTTGTTGTTAGTGATACGAGTCATTCTTGTGTGATAGTTGTATCTTTTTATGGAATTGTGTAACGCATATAAATTTTTTTCAAGCTCTAACAAAAAAATGGAATATTTTACTTAAGCATGTTTCATGTTTTACGGTAAAAAATATGTCACTATGGACTTAGACAATCTATTTCATAGGTTATTTTTTTTCTTCTCTGTGTAGAAAAATCTAAAACGGATGAACTCTTTCATGAGTTAAACACAAAGAATCTGAATGAACATCTCAATGAGCTTGTACCTGGTCTCACACCTAAGCTCTTCTGCATATATAATGCATCCTTCACTTTGGATAGCCGGATATGTTTAAAATAATTGGATCTTTTAGGTTTTTGATTTTACATTGGAATTATGTTGCTGCTATACAATTTGGATATAGGTTCCCTTTTACAAGTATTCATATGTCTGTCTCCCTTTGCATTTTTCACAACTATGTTCTGTTTTAATGTGTGGGACAGTTGTGGGGAAAATTGTGTGCTTGCAGAGTGAATAAATCCAAGTTGTATTTTAAGTGTTTAAGTACAGAAAGTTGAAATGTATCTGCAAGCACACAAGGAGGTAAAAGACTAAAAGAAGATAGTTCATTCTCCTGGCGATTTCTAGTAAATCATATTTTATCAACTATTAGTTGTCTTAATGACATGGTCAGTTTATGTAAAACTGCAAATAAACCGAAATAAACCAAGATCTCTATGAATCAGCCATTAAGCTAATTTCATATCACAGACCGAGTATTTCTAGATTTATCGTATAGCTTTTGTAAATCTAAATTACTACGTAGATATTAAATTTTGCAAAGTGAAGCAGAGTGAATAAATCCAAGTTGTATTTTAAGTGTTTAAGTAGTATAAAGACCAAATGCTTTAGCAAAAATTATAAAAAGACTACCAAAATAAGATGTTTCAACAAAATTAAAATTGCAATAACAACATATTTAGGAAGGAAACACCCGAGTCTGAAACCTTATAGCAAAAAGGAGAGATGTCGTTGGGAATTCAAAGACAATTTGTAAAATAAAACCACATGCATCTAAGAATCAGCAATGGTGACCTCGACCTCAACACCAGGCTCAATGGTGATGGAAGTGATCTGCTTCACCACATCAGGAGAGCTAAAGAGATCAATCACACGCTTGTGTACACGCAGCTCGAACCTGTCCCATGTGTTGGTTCCTACAATACATAAACAAACATCTCTATAAACATGTAGGTTCCTTCTCTATTATGAATGTTTTGCAGTAAAATATGATACTATGATTGCAACCTAATGACAAACTCGTGCAGAGACGGTTCTGAACCACATAGCAAATTAATGAGAAAGTCCAAAAAGAGAAGGGAAATTTGATTACTGACCTTCACCACAAGGAGCTTTTCTTGTGGTAATCTTGAGAACTTTAGTTGGCATCCTCACTGGTCCTTTAACTCTCAATCTCTTGTCTTTAGCTCCACGAACCAAGTCAGTGCACACTAACCATCAATCAAACATAAAGACAAAAACTTAGATTTCAGTAATGACAGTGATTACCCATTTCAGTTCCAGTGTTAAGCTAATGACTAAACGAAATTCCACTAAGCCAATACCGTATTGCAGATAATACCCTTTAAAAGATGTAGCTAAAAGAAACGAACTTGATGGCTAAATCAAGAAAACGAATCTCACCCTTTTCAAGGTTTTTGACGTTCTTGGAGGAGAGAGTGATTCTAATCTTGTGAATCTGCTCTTGTGGCTCCTCAAATCCTGTCTTTCCTTGCTTCATCGGTGGTGCGTACGCCATAGCTTTCTCCTACTTTTCTTTTTCAAGTTCCTTAAGCTAACACAATGCATCCAAAAAGAAACAACCTTATTAGATATCAAATCGAAACCCTAAACTTGAATTTCAAAAACCATTTCCGACATAACAGTTCAATTCATACGATAATATTAAGAAAAGATTGTATTAAAAGTGTAAATCTGTAGAGGAAAATTTACCAGAGAAGAAAGGAGACACGAGCCGCTGAGTTGATGAAGAAACTGGGCGACGAACTTTGTGGGAGGGAGACGCTGTTAGGTTATAACTAAGACACAGAAATTAGGTTTTTTCTTTTGCTACTTCCCTAATGGGCCTTTTAGATTTTTACTTTAGCCCATTTTAAAGAACACGATTTTGGCCCCTTGGAAATCCGTTGTAGTTTTCTTATAGAACAAAGTAATTGATTTTCCTTCACCCAACTTATTTAAACATATGGATTATTTGTTGTAGGAAACATTAGATTAGAGAAACATTATAGGATAATGTATCATGTATGTCTATAGATTATGTGGTACATAAAAAAGGATAAATATAAGTTTTATAACAGAGTTAAGTGTTTAACTCAAGACACATTAGCATAGCCATCAAGGAGTGTGAAGCTTGGTTTGAGATTGATGAGACATTTAAAAAAAATATATATATACAGCAGTGGATGTGAATTTTATAGAATTTCTGATTTTTTATATGGAAAACTTGAGAAAGAGGAGATGAATAGTTAATTTGAATAATAATAGAGTTATAGACCATGGTTAGACGAATCAAACAATCTATCACAAAGAAATACATAAATAATAAATTGCAGAGAGTTTTCATTTAGGGCAAGACAAAGAGCTAAGATACATATAAAAAAAAGTACATGCCACCTAACTAACTTTCTAATTATTCCTTTGAACGGCCCATAGTTAAGTTGAGAAGGTAAATTTTCTATCATTTTCAGTTCAGGTCCAAGCCGGCAAGGAAGTGGCTCGACCAAAGTCTTCTTTGGTGGCAGTTGGTCAATGAATATATATATGGTCTTTGGTGATGGTTCAAAACTTCAAATATGGTGGCTCTAAGGATACTAGGCCGATGGTGGTCGACTCGGTTAGGTCTTTTTGTGACATGGTCAAGTCTCCTCCATCCAAAATCGAATTTTATCGACAAAAGTCTTTATTGTATGTCCAAGAATGATTGGCATGCTTGTTTTTATTTAGTTTGTTTTCAGTTTGTTCTTGTTGGATTTTGGTGGCTATTGGATGGTCTCTTCTAGTTTTGGCATCACTTCTACAACATGTTAAAATGCTGGTTCAATGACTACATCATATGTGGACTTTGAAAGAATGACGGCCCAATTTCTAATATTTGATAGCTTTTTATGTAAAAATAATATTTGATAGCTTAATAGCATTTCAATCAATCTTTATCTCAATTGAAGCCATTTTATATGTCAGTTTTTTAGGCTCTCATAGGTTGAATTATGATGATGGAATCCAACACTAACGGGTTGATATTGTTATTTTTTTTTTTTTGCTATGATAACGGGTTGATATTATTGTTGAACGTAAAAGATTTTTGAGCAAATGTTGGATGATTTCAGGCTTAAATTCATATGGGTGTAAAAAAAACCATGTAAAATACGTGGTCACTGGTCACTACATTTCATCGAACTTAAAACCCAATTGCTCAAAATGTGAAAACTTCGAAAATTTTCGTTGTCAGCAAAGTCATTGCTCATTATGAAACCAATTTATTGCACGAAGAAAATCGCCGATGGAACATCACCGTTCACCGGAGCGTATCCGTCACGCGCTGTTAAAGCTATTCAAAAGACTAGAAAGAAAAAAATCCCGCAGATTTCACGCGACGTTTGTCTCTTTCACACACTCATCGATGACGTGTCATCTGAAACAAAGAGTCAATACTGCCAAGTCAGCATTAAATTCCACATATGTGCCAAGTGTCGCCAGTCTGGCGTCAGTAATTGTCCATCTGTGTCACCGTAACGTCAGTGTAGCAAGTGGGACCCGCAATTAGCCAAATTATAAAACTTTTAGTGGCCCACTTTCGGACCAGAGAGCTTTCAATCTCAGCTGTACGATTCTTTTTTACTGCTTTGCTGACTCTTATTTAATTTTATTTGGATTTTCTTATAACATTTTCGCGTTTATATTCTTATTTCTTAAATTTTTTAAATTATTATTTTAGTGTTCACATCAATACATTGACAAGAGAGCCGCGCAATTCGCTCCGCGATTGAGACGGGCCCGTTCCTCTTATCCTTCCCAGGTTTTCTTTTGTTTTCTTCTCACCACTCCATAAATCTCAACATTTATATATATATATTATTTCATTTTCTCGAATTTGTGTTTCTTTGGTTTTTGATAACAATTTAAATTTTATATCTAATGGTGACGAGGACAAAATGTCTTTTTGGGTTATCGGAATTTTTTTTTTTTGGTGATAATGGTGAAAAAGCAAAATTTAAAACGAAATCCTAAATATTCTCATCGGAAAGTTCAACTACGAATTACGGCATGTAGTTTTAAATATGTTTTTGATGGGATACCCACCAGCGCCTCGGATATTTCATTTATGCTCATGTGTCCCTTTTTTGTATAAACATCGAAAACTTAACAATTAATAACAAAATCATTGGAATCGTGGTTAGGTACGTAGCTCCCAATTTTTCTCCTACCATAGTGATTAGTGTACTATTGAGACTGATAAAATAACCAAATTCTGAACGTGTAGCGAGCGGTGGACATGTCATATCATATCATATGTGTATTCACGTAAAAAGTTAACTCTAACATAGGTGCTTCTAATCTACTTACAAAAGAAAAGAAAAAAAAAACAACATCGGTGCTTCTGATATTAGGGTTCAGAACTTTGACGTTAGCATGATAGATTATATACTAACCGATAGGGTTGGTTTAGACGTTTAGTCTAAACCGGCTGATTTTGCTCATATATAGATTACTATGGCCTACATTGTACAGATTCTATACATGTAAAACCAAATTGATCGCTATTTTTATGTCAACGTAATTAAGTATATTATTGATACTATATCGAGATGCAAAATTATTTGATACCAAATATACCTCATGGTTTTGGATCATAGATGCCTACTTGTTTAGGTGCCACGATTTTTATTCCAACATACTGTCGTTGTTTTTGTTGGCGATTGATTAATTCTGGAAGCTTAATATTGGCAGTAATTTTTTAGTTTTTTGTGATATAAAAGGATTTTTAAATACCTTATCTTATGCTTTACTAGTTCATGCAACTACTGAATCATAAGCATTGGGATGCATTTTTTGCGGTGATTTGCTACTTGAAAAGCAGTGTAATAAGCTTATAAGAGCATCACCAATGCTAATACCCATTTTGGGTTTCTTAGCATTTTTTAATTTCGTTTAATATTTATTTTTTAGTTGGGAAGGACTTCATGTTTTGTACCCCTCCAACCCTGATCTTCTATTTAAGAGTTGTTTTGATTAAAATATTAATATTTTGTTTATTTTTTAAATATTTTTAAAAAATTGAAAATAAAATTACATAAATACATAACATAAAACGTGATTAATATAAGAATACATGATTAATTGAAATACAAATTTTTAAAATTACAAAAAAAACATACAAACTTAATTTCAAAGAGCGGTTCCTCCAAATTTATGCCAAATATGTTCAACTAAATCTTCCTTTAATTAATTGTGAATTTCGGTATCTCGAACTTGAATCCGATTACCGATCAAATTGTCCAGATTGGATGACGTTTCTGTTCAGTAACTCATATCGACATATGAAGTTCTGCTTCCTTCACCTTGTACGAATTCAGATATATTAAGTTGAGTGTTGGTAGGTCGTTCGTCTTCGACTATCATATTGTGTAATATGAGACATGTTCTCGTAATCTTCCCTATCTTCTCTTTATCCCACATTAAGGCAGGATTTTTGACAATAGCAAACCAGGCTTGCAAGACTCCGAAAGCTCTTTCGACATCTTTCCGTACAGATTCTTGGCATTGAGCAAATAATGTATCTTTTTCACTTCGGGGAAGAGGAATAGACTTGACAAATGTTGCCCAGTTTGGATATATACCGTCCGTCAGGTAATATGGTAGACGATAGTTGTGACCGTTGACAGAGTACCTTACTTTCGGAGCTTTACCATGTAAGATGTCATCAAAAACAGGTGAGCGATCTAAGACATTGATATCGTTTAAAGTACCTGGAGATCCAAAAAAGGCATGCCAAAACCAAAGATCGTATGATGCCACAGCCTCTAAGACAATTGTCGGTTTTCCTGCACCCCGTGTGTATTGCCCTTTCCAAGCTGTAGGGCAATTTTTCCACTCCCAATGCATGCAATCGATGCTGCCAATCATCCCGGAAAATCCACGAGACTCTCCCATTTCAAGCAGCCGTTGAAGATCTTCTCATGTTGGTCTTCGTAAGTATTCATCCCCGAACAAAGAGATTATTGCTTCGGTGAAATTTTCCAAGCAAGTGTACTTTCACCTAGCCGGAGGTACTCGTCACACGCATCAGCTGCACTACCGTATGCCATCATACGAATTGCGGCTGTACATTTTTGTAGCCCAGATAGGCCAAGTCTTCTGACAGCATCTCTCCTTTGTTGAAAGAAAGGCACTTCTTGTGAGAGTCGATCAACAATACGAATGAACAATGTTTTGTTCATTCTAAAACGGCGGCGGAATAAATTGTGAGGGTATGTAGCATCTTCGCTTAAATAATCGTTCCATAAACAAATGTGGCCTTCCTCACGTTGTCTTTCAATATATGCTCTTTTCTTCTTCTTCGGTTTCGGGTTTAGACGACGTTGTATGAAAGAATTCAAAGCATTAATTGTCAAAGTGTTGATCAAAGATTTCAGCAAAATTTTCATCCAAAGTTTCATCAAGATCATTATTGTAAAAATCGTTTGATGAAGAGGCCATTTGTGTGATTAGAAAAAAAGAGAAAGGATATGAAGATGGAGATGTGTTTGCGATATGAAAAGAGAAAGGATATGAAGAAGGAATGGTGTTCTCGAGATATGAAAAATTGGAAAGGAGGTGAAGATGTGCTTGCTGAAAAGTGGAAATAAAAGACAGAGGAGAAGCACAATACAGAGAACGATATGTGGAAATAAACTTGGTATTGCTTGTATTATATAGGCAGATGGTTTGCAAAGAGATTACAAATGAGTGGTTTACAAAGAAACTTTAAAGTCTATGGTTTGAAAAGCGTTCAACGAGATGGCAAATCATCTCTGCTAAAGCGATATACAACATGTGGTATAGCAGGCAAAATTACAAAACGTAGAGGTCCCAGTCCTACTCTCCATAAAGTTACAAAATTACATTTCACGGGAAAGCAAAGACTTGGCCCCTCATTCCTTGTCTGCCATTTCTCCATTACGTGTAAAATCTGCAAAAGAAAGAGTTCATTACCGAGATAGCCAATCCGCATAAATAGAATACAATGCCCATCAGAATGCAATATAGGCAAGTACTAAACAAGTTCACCAAACATACTTCTTTAAATAAACTTCATTAAATAAACTTCAAAGCAAGTTCAACAAACACTTAAAAACAACTGCAAAATACAACTAAAAAAGCAAGTTCAGCTTTTTTCACTTAGACACCAAACACTTAAAAAAAAACTTATGACAAAGGGCAGCAATTAAGTTGTCTTTGAGTACAATTTCGTTCTCAGAAAGTGGCCCTGGTCGAGCTAGTAGTTTTTCGAGCAAGTTTTACCTGGAGATCTTGTCTTTCCTATCTAGGTCCACTTGTGTTATATCCCACATACTCCTCATGTCTGCATAGGCTTTGGCTTCTTCTTGATCGGCCGCTGAAGGTGCTTTTTTCTTGCCCTTGGCTGCTTTTGCAGCTTTTACTCCTGGAGGCCGAGCTGATGTGTCCTCTCCACCAGTCTCTGTCTGCGGTGAATGAACCGCACCTTCATCACATTTTCTACGCTTAACCCTTTCAGCATCTCTTATCGTGGTCGCGGAAGTCCACTTTTGATCATGCCGAAGTTCCCTCGAAGCATGCTCCAGTTAAAACTTGAAGCCGTGATCGTTGAGGAAGATCTGGTGTGCAGCTTTCATCACGTCGTTGTCGTTTTGGCCGGATGATTGCTCTTTAACCGCAGTGCCATAGCAGCCAACGAACTTACACACTTGGTCGTTCATCCTGCTCCACCTCTGCTTGCAATGGGTCCCCTCTCTATCTGGATACTCTTTCAGTTTCGGGCTCGAGTTGAATGTGGCCTTGATGCGTGACCAGAAGGCACAAGCTTTCTGGTCATTACCTACGATTGGGTCCTTGCTGGTGTTCAACCAAGCAGAGATGAGGACAAGGTTTTCTGTTGGTGTCCACTGCCTCCTCGGTGTGACTTTGCGGTCTTCAGCTACAACTGTTGGCTCCTCGGCGTGACTAAACCTGGGCAACTGTGGTGATCCTACATCTATTGGCGGTGAAAAGGAGAAAGGATAGTCCTCTTGACTATTCAAGAGGTTTACAAACCCTTGAGAATTACCATATGGGTTTGGAGAGTCCATATGGTTCGAGAGTTAGGTTTAAGAAGATTGTAGCATGTTAAGTGTTTTAAGTGTTTTACGTTTTTCAAAACTGTTAAGAGTTTTACGGTTTTATAATAGGTCAAGTGTTAAAGTTTACTATCCAATTTTCAACCATAAAACTTAAACTACCATTACTTGATATGATTTCTGAAACGAAAGACAGTCTCTAACATAACCTAAACACTAACTCTTCACCTAACACACATTAATGAACAACTAGCTTTCATTCATAAAACGGAAAAGAAATGAAATACGTTGTCAGCCATGCGTATAGAGAGCCTTGTTCGCGTTGCTGTCCCATCATATTTAGGACAGGATTATGGAACCTCTTCAACTCGCATATGTCTTTCCATAGCCCTAATCAATGCCCAAACAACAACCAAAAGCAAACAACCAAAAGCAATACCATACAATCGATAACACAATAACTGAAACAAGCAAATAACCAAACCATAACCAAAAACCAAAACAAGCAACTTCTACATACAATAGATAACACAAAAACCATTGTCTTTACCTAAAATAGCAACTAACCATACCGGTTCTACCATAGCAAAAGTGTTTTAAGATAAAAGAACATAGCCGCATAACACTTTGCAACTGCTAAACCCTACTTAAACATGTAGGTAATCGCTGCAACAACAGAAAAAAACCAAGTAACATGTAGCTGTCACCTTGGTTAGCCAGTGCCTCCTTCAATCGTGCAACTTCCCCTTGAATCACTCTGACCTCCTCCTTTAAGAGTGCCATGCTCGTATCCGGCACTCTCTCAACCCTTTCCATGTCACGTCTTTGATTCGAAATCCTTCTCTCCAGGATGCCAATTTGCTCCGTGACTGCTTCGTCCCAGAACATGAAGATATGCTCCCCAGTTCCCTACATAAGAACATGAAAAATGATACTAAACTCAGGTTAAACAATTTTATAATGCAAGTATATTGACTTTTCACACTTACCTCTTCTAACCACGCAAGAAAGCTGTAGTATTGCCGACCTGGAGTCCTAACAGCCTCAGCAGACATGCCTTGTAGCTGGATCACTCGACCACAGAAGCACTTCTCCGGGATGCCAAACTTGGCATCTTCCAACATCCAACTGTAGTCCTCAATGTATTCGTCATCAGAAGATGGCTCACTGTAGCTAATGGGCATCCTGTATACAGTAAAGAACAGATGCAAAACGTTTGTGAAAACAGATTCAAAAAACAGATGCAAAACGTTTCAAGGAAACATATTGATCAACATATTGATCAACATAGCCGAGACAAACAGAAGCATTTGATGTAATCAGTTTTACAAGTTGAAACACAAAGACAAATAAGCATTAACCATTCCAGCATCACGTTCACTAAACCTATTTACAACGAACCCGTGTTTGAAAAAGAAAAGATACAATAGATCGCATTAACGATGCTCGAATCACAAACGGAAGATGAAAACTAAAAAGAAAATCGATTTCCGAAATCAAACAAAAAAGAAAAACGGAAGATGAAAACAAAATCAAACCCTAAAATTTTTCCGAAATCGATTAAACCCTAAACGCAAAGCTAATCGATTTCAAATAACCGAGTAAGAATATCAAATTATCGCCGATTCAACCACCCATACATTACTACTGAACCGATTAATCCCAAATTTCAAGTAATTCGACGAACCCTAGAATTTTCCCCAAATTGATTCAAACCCTAATTTTGATTTTAAAAAACGATAAAACCCACCAACAACGATTGTTACGAGGTCGGGAATCTTACCTTGCTCGTCGCGTCGTCCCGATGAAACAGCTTCGTCGTCTCAGCCGTCGAATTCGCCGGTTAACCGATTCGTCGGTGACAGAATGAGACTCAGAGAAAAACACACGACTTCTCTCTTGAAAACAAAATGGCACATGCAAAAAAATAATGAAAAAATTACAACACTTTCCTCTTAATTCCAGCCACTCACCATCCGCCACGTCATCAACGATACTCGCTTGAGACGGGCTCGTCGGTCTCATCTGCAAGAGATGGTCCGTCCAGATTATTCGGCCCAAAGTTATTTTTAATTGTAAACTAGCCCTTCGGGCCCACTGACGTACCGCAGATGATACCGAGTTGGAGATGGTCTAAGATTGGTACGTGTTTTAACTCGCTCAATCTAACGCTAGCTGATTAGAAAATTATATAGTGACATGATGATCTTTAACATGTTAATGTATATGTGATATGTCAAGATTTCGAAGTTTGTTAAAAATGCGGTAGCACAAACATGGTTTAAGGTTAATAGCCAGAGCCGTGCCCAAAAATTCAGAGTCCGTAAGCAGTAATTAAACAAAAAACTTTAATTAACTATTATCATTCCAAATTTATATACAACCATTTCAATTTATATAAAACAAATAATAATTTAGTGTTCCAAATTTATAGAAAATCAATAATACATATAAATAATATAATATTATTGTCTTTAAATTCAGAAAACTACAATACATATCTATAGTTTTAAACGTATTCCAATCTAAAATTCTAAATCATACTTTTTAAAAATTATAATTTAACCAATTTTTTGTGTTTTCTTTTATATGTTAATTCAAATCACAAAGTAATCTAAATCTAATATTAGATGAAATAAAATTATAATTAAAGAATACTTAGCAATTAGCAAATATAAACTAATTATGTGGTTGTTGTAAACAAAAAATAAGTGAGTTGAAGAAGTCTTCAGTGAAAAAGAGAGGAATAAAAACTTTATGTTTCTAACTTTTAAGTTGCTATGTGTGTTGCCCTCATATTGTATTGTATTGTTAAATTAAATTTTAATTAGTTGCTAATTTTATATAAACAAACATTTTGCTACTACTAACAACTAATAATAAACTTTATTAAAGAATTAGACTCTACAATTTATCTAAAAAAACTGGGCCCGTAGGCAAATGTTTATTTTTACTACATAAACACGACCTTGTTAATAGCATAACTAAACATTTTTTTATAGTATATAAAGTTGATATCTGTTAGTCAAAAAAACATTCCACCTCTTCCAAATCATATTTTGAGATATCAATTCTATTTTATTGTGTCAGCTTGTCTGCAATATATTTTGGTGTGAATCAAAGTTTGTTTTAAAAACTAAACATATAGACATTGAGTAATTTCATATGTAATGAGTTAGGTGAAGATACAACTGTATATATTTCATCATATTTCTACTTTTACACAATTGGTTAGACATCTTTTACAATAAACATTCCTCCTAAGTTAGACACTCTAATTTTGTTGTTTGTTTATTTTTTTTTTTGATACAAAGTAGACACTGTACTTTAGAAACGACTAGATTCTAACCACTGCACGGGAATATTGTTTATTGTTTAACAAATTTTGTAATATAATTTGTGTTTTTAAGTTTAGATATAATTATTTTTTAAATATATTTTTTAATAAGTGAAAATATTGATTTTTGTGTTTAGATATATTTTATAGTATTAAAATTAATTATGATTATAAAAATATAATTTTAACCCGTCTGCTAATATTAATTCAAAATGAACTATTATAAAAACATAATTCTAACTTTTCCGTTTATATTACCGTATAATATAAATATTTGTTAAAAGTTTGAGATGTATTAACAATATTATTTAGCATTATAGTTTTCTAAAATTTAATCAACGAAGAGAGTTTACAACTGGTTTTTTCAAACCACATTATAGTGTATGCAATAATTTTTAATTTTTTTTATGTTTTTATTTTGTATGAAAAATATATTTTCGATATACATGTATAATTCAAAATTAGTGATTTTAGTTACCAAAATATTTTTAACCCGGTTTTTATATATATTTTTAGTTCTATAAATTTTAAAAAATATATTTTTAATTATTTAAATTATATATTTAAATTTTACCTATTATTTTATTATTAATTTGTAAATAAATCATAATCGTAAATATATTATATAAGCAACATAAATATTATATCATTTACATCATTATAAATATTTTATATTTCAAATATGACCATTATTTTTCATATGTGAATTATTTTTTTTTCAAAAATTTTAGATATTTTTGATAAAAATAGTTAACAGTATATAAATTATTTAAATTAGAATCTTTAAATCAAATCTAAATTAATATCTGATTTATTATTTTTAATTAAATCAAATCAAATCTAAATTACCTATATTTAAGGAACTCTAAAAATATCTAAATTAATAACTAATTTTCGAAATTAAATATAAATAATTATTAAAATTATTTTTAAACACTTAAAAAAAATTAGAAGTGTTTGGAAACAAGTACTAAATGTGCTTCTGTTTTAATATAATAGATGTATTACCATACAACCATACAATTAATATCTCTAATTTTAATGTACATAAATGTCTATATTCTTTTTTTAGCGAAAATGTAATACTATTTATGGTATTTGGTAATTGCTATATATATTCACATGATTGACAGCTATAGATTTTTATCAAACTCTATTAAGGAGACCACGTTACCAAAAAAAAAACGTAATCTTGAAAACATAAAACATCTTTTGAGTATAAAAACAAACCGCCAATTTAGTGATTAGTACTCTAGTTCACGACGATATTCCTATTCAACACTATCCTCTCAAGTGGCCCAAAAAAAGACAAAACAACAAAAAATACACAACTTTCTTTTGTAATAATAAAATGAAAAATACGAGGGCTTTGAAAAATAATAACTCGTGGTGGTCCCTAATTAACAAAAATAATAATACTGAAAAGTGAGGTCCATACCCAGGGAAAAAAAGGGAAGCAGGAGAGAGGAATTACACAAATAACCCTAAAACAACGATTAAGATTTTCCCGCGCAATGGGGAAGCAAAAATCGAGGGTTTGGTGACGTCAGATTGAAAACAATCGGACGGCTATCGACGACGCCGTTTGTCTTTTTGTGGGTCCTACTTGTCCACCTCACCTTTAAACAAGCCCAACTGTCCTCCATTACCATTCTTGATGTTCTCCTTAAAATTCGAAACATTTTCTCTACTTGCAGACTTTGTAGTTGCAGTTGTATATCATTTTTTAGTTTAATCAAATTCCATATCACCACTAATTAACAACTACACTACAATTTACAAGTTTATTAGTTGAATAACCACATTTTTGTTAGCCTGTTTATGTAGTTCGTATGGTTGATTTAATTACTGTAGATGTTAACATTTATAGCAACTGGACGAAATCTTATGGTTTTGATTGACAAATTGTTACCGCTTTGGTAAAACTATATTATCTGCTTGTGTTGTGGTCAGATTTTCACCGTTTTTAATTGTTACATATTGTTATCTATTTTTTCAATTCAGCTAAAATGAAGATTAACTGTTTTTTCCTTTTTAAAATAAATGATGTTTAAAATTATTGCACATAAAAAAAAAAACTAAAAGTCTAAACAACTTTTAATATCTATTTAAACACAATTTAATCAGTAATAAATTAATATACAGAATAAAAATAGCCAAAAAATTTAAAAACTAATTAATATTGCAGAAAATCATATAGTTTGAAGCAAATCTTTCTCTTTCAACATTATTTAGTGTAAAATAGAGGGAATATTTGTTTGGACAACATAAAATTATATGCATAAGAAATTCAATTGTGACATGAGCCAAATAAATAGGAATAAATATATAATGTATGTATATTAATAGAAAAGAAAACAATCTAGTTTGAATTAAATAATCCTATATATACACACTCACACACACTTGACACTCCATGTCTCTTCAGACAAGTCGGTCCACCAATTCAATTTTTTTTCCTCTTCTCTCATTCCCATTAATTTGTTTTTTTCACTTTCACAAAATCTATAAAAAAAAAAATTAAAAAAAAATAAAAACATGCATTCAGTTCCGGTGATTCTCACCCTCACCGTACTTACAGTGCTCTTAGCATCACCGGCGCAAGTTATCGGATGGCGTCCATATCGTCATCAAACCAACGGCTCCGATCAAATATTCGGCGCATCAAAGAAATTCGAAGGCTCATCGAATCTCGTCCGCCTCCGTTACCACATGGGCCCAGTCCTCACCAACAACATCACCGTCCATCCAATCTGGTACGGCACGTGGCAGAAATCGCAGAAGAAAATCATCCGTGAGTTCATCAACTCAATCTCAGCCGTCGGATCAAAACACCCTTCCGTCTCCGGTTGGTGGAAAACCGTTCAGCTCTACACTGACCAAACCGGATCTAACATTTCCGCCACGGTTCGTCTCGGCGAGGAGAAAAACGACCGGTTTTACTCCCACGGCAAATCCTTAACCCGGTTATCGATTCAGTCGGTGATTAAATCCGCCGTCGCTTCTAGATCTCGGCCGTTGCCGGTAAATCCCAAAAGCGGTCTCTATCTCCTCCTCACCGCCGATGACGTGTACGTTCAGGATTTCTGCGGCCAGGTTTGTGGATTTCACTACTTCACATTCCCGTCGATTGTTGGATTTACGCTGCCGTACGCTTGGGTCGGAAACTCGGCGAAGTTCTGTCCCGGAGTTTGTGCGTATCCGTTCGCCGTACCGGAGTTTATTCCGGGGATTAAACCGGTGAAATCGCCGAACGGTGATGTTGGTGTGGATGGGATGATAAGTGTGATCGCTCACGAGATTGCTGAGCTGGCGACGAATCCGTTGGTTAACGCTTGGTACGCAGGACCCGACCCGGTTGCTCCGGTTGAGATAGCGGATCTTTGCGAGGGTATTTATGGAACGGGAGGTGGTGGTTCGTACACAGGACAGATGTTGAACGACGATCGTGGTGCCACGTATAATGTTAACGGTATCCGACGACGGTATTTGATCCAGTGGTTATGGAACCACGTGGTTAGTTACTGTACCGGACCCAATAAGCTTGATTAGTGATGGTTTTCTTCGGTTTTGCGTTTTTATTTTGGGAAGGGTAATTCTGTCTTTCTGAATTTGTGCTCCATAAAGGGAAATGGAGTGTATGATGGATGGTCTAAGAATATGGGGTTTGTGTTGGAGAATTGTCAACGTATCAATGCATAATTAAATTAGTTAATGATAGTTTTAAGTTTGTTGATTATTATGTGCAAAAAGTCACTTATGCTTTTGTGTTAGTAACATATGATGCTTATCTTTTTTGTTGTTGAAACAAAGCCAAATCTTAATGCGAGATTACATCTTGGCTTTCTTCGGATAGGGTTGTTTTGAAATGGATTGTATTATTTAAAATCTGCACGAGCTATGTTAATGAAGACAAAACTCGTATACCATAAGACAAAAACTCAAATAATTTAAAATATCATATATGTAATGGCTATTAAAATTTAAGCCAAGATTATGTAAAACGGTGTATATGTGACAGGGAGATATGGGGAGTGTAGAAGGATGTATCAATATAGTTATTGACCCAACACATAAATATCAAATTAGGTCAAAATTTTAGATTGTATGAATGTTTTGGGAGAAGGATATATATTTCTTGAAATATCACATTGGAAAAAAGTGTAAGAAAACGAATTCAGAAGACAAGAGGATAAATCATGAAATGAATGAGATATTTTGAGGAATGTGAGGAGGGTAGGTGAAAAATCCAAACCTAACATGATTGTCCTTTTAATGTTTTTCTTTTGGATTTTTTTTTTCGAAAATCAGTAGTTATTAACCCTGATTTGAGGCAATCTTGTTTACATTTTTTTTGTTTTTCACTTGGAGAATCTTGTTCACCTTTTTATCTTTTCACGTAGGCAATCTTGTTTTTATATTTTTCATTTGTTACTTTCACTTAGGTAATCTTGTTTACCTTTTTTCTTTGTTTTTTTCACTTAGGCAATCTTGTTTACCATTTTCGTTTTTCTTTTTTTGCTTTTCTCTTAGGCAGTCTTGGATCAGAGGGGTCTTTTTCAATTAATATCATATATGGTAAAAAGGAAAACCCATTACAATTTAGAGAGTAGAAGCACTACAGAAACTTTTACCAATACAGACAAGTTGTTTGAGACAGCCACTGAGTATAATGGGAAAAAAATTCCACATATTATATTGTTTGAGAATTAATCCAAATCAAACTAGAAAAATTGAGTAAACGTTAGAGAAAAAATGTATTAAGAAAATACCTATTTACGGGTTATTTTTATTATTGTGTGAATCAATAATAGAAACCTTTAAAACCCATATTTATAATGTCGTAAAAGCCGATTTATAAAACTTTTTCTAGTCTCAATAGAATACCCTACCGTAGGGAGCTTCTCCCCCCCATATCCCATGATGTAATTCTTAGCATACTTTATCATATCTTCGCATCTTATAAAAACATGTAAAAAAAAGAGAAAGAAAAAACTGTAAAAAGGAAAAGTCAAAACATTCGTTCATCATACGAGTTCTACACTTCTACTAGTTGTTACTCATCTCTGTTATATATATATATATATATATAGTGCTGTGCGAAAGTTTATAAGGACTTAAGGCAAATTAAAAAAATAGACCTTTTTATTAAAGAAAAGGATTTTCTAACAAAAAAAATATAATATAATTTTAAAATCATATAAAATATTTAAAAATAAAATCTTAATCTAAAAAAATTAATTAAGACATAATCTTTCTTTATTCTTTTTCAATAAACTCTTTCGTCGAACTCTCATAAACGAAGTCTTTAAATAATTATCTTTCTATAGATATAACAGCTAGACTATTTAATCTTTTTTTGTGACATAGTTGATGCAAATAAGATTTTATCAACTTCAATTTTAAAAAAAAAATTTCAGCTGAGGCAACTAAAACTGGAATTGTTGCAATATCTATCCATGAGTTTTTTTTTTCTCTTGAGCTTTAGGGTTTGGTCTGATTTTAAATATCATAAAAGCCGATAATCTAAACAAATCTTAATCAATTTTCTAAAACTATTAGGAGAACGTAATCTTATTCAATTTCTAATATCTATTATTTTTTTTCTCTCTCTTATAAACAAAAATAAGAAAACATCTTATGTAAAAAAAACTCACGCCAACCATAAACTAATTAACTACCTCTTAAAAAAATGGAAACCCTAAAAAATTTATATATTTTGGGGGCTTGAGGCAAAAACCTTTTTCACTACATGGTAAGCACTAGGGCTGGAACGGAGCCGGATATCCGGACTTTTCAAGGTATCTGGATCCGGATCCGGTTTCACCGGATAATCAATTTTACTATCCGGATCCAAAAACTCCGGATATTCGGAGACCCGAATATCCGGTTTGAACCAAATATTACGGATATCCGGTTTCGTTGATTTAAAAAAAAACTTCAATTTTTAAAAATTATTATGAGATCATATATATAATTAAAAATTTAAAATGTTTCAACATAGCAAATATTATAAATACCAAAAATTAAAAAGCATTCAAGTAAAATTCAAATAGCACAAAGTTTAAAAGTTACATAGCAAAAGAGAAAATAGTAATAGAGAAGTTAATTTATCTTCATATCTATATGTTATCCATTTTAATGTTTTTCTCTCACAATCCGAAATAGAAGATAATCATGAAATATGAATTTTAATAAGTATTATCAAAATAAATAAATCTTTAATAAACGGATAACGGATAACGGATATCCGATTTCAAATTTTTCTATTATCCAGATCTGTATCCGAAATAACCGAATACTTAATTTCACTATCCGGATCTAGATCCGAACTATACAGATATTCGGTTTTTACGGATCGGATAGGATTGGATAGCGGATTGGATACCGGATACTGGATAATAATTCCAGTCCTAATAAGCATGGCTCTATATATATATATATATATAAATTCTAGTTCTGATCATTGTCGAAGTCGAAGCACATATATACTTAGCATATTTTGGTTGATACGTGTGTTGTTTTAATTTGTGTTTTGGGTACATGAAATCATGAACGCATACTCAATATTTTGTTTATTGCATTTAACGCCATTTTTTTTTACTTGGCAGAGATGGTGATGGTGGTAGAACAACGACGCTACGTTCGTTACATTTTATTTGTTCTGATCTAAATTTGCTCTCTAGTAATCTAAAACACATTGAAAACTAGAGTTATTTACATTCAAAAGACACTTTTTAGTTTAATTCTTACAAAAAAGACATTTATATCTATTGGATATATATATTTTTTTAATCCGAAATTGGCCCTTGTGGATACGATAAGGTGAATGCGAACTAATTGATAACAGATTAAATTTAGATTCAAAAACAATAATTATTTTTTCCTATCTATTTTGTTTTGTATTTTTTTGTATTGTGAAAGACATAAAATATTTTTTTTGGTTAAAATGAGTTATAATTTCATTTTATCATTGTTTTAAGATCCATTATACTATAATTTATTTATCAAACAAGAAACTTTTCAAAAACATATGTATAATTTGTTTAAAAAAAATCAGAGTCTAGGCAGATATTCACTCAGAAAATATGATGTGGATGATGCATAATGGATATATAACATAGACTTGATTGCGTGGATATATTTTCTTTGAGGTATCCACTCAGAAAATATGATGTGGATGATGCATAATAGATATATAACATGAACATGATTGCGTGGATATGTTTTCATTGATATATTCAACATGGATATACATTTTACATTGTTCATAACCTATCCATATGATCCACGTCCATCTTATGGACAATGTAAAATGTATATCCATGTCGAATATATAAATAAAAATATATCCACCTAATCATGTCAATTAGGGCTGGAACGGAGCCGGATATCCGGACTTTTCAAAGTATCCGGATCCGGCTCCGGATTTGACGGATAATCAATTTTATTATCCGAATCCGGATCCGAAAACTCCGGATATCCGGAGACCGAATATCCGGTTTGAACCAAAGATTTACGGATATCCGACCGGATATCCGGTTTCGTTGATTTAAAAAAAAAAACTTCAATTTTTAAAATTATAATGAGATAACATATATAATTAAAATGTATCATTATAGCAAAAATTACAAATACCAAAAATTTAAAAGCATTCAAGTAGCATTCAAATAACACAAAGTTTAAAAATTTACATAGCAAAAGAGAAAATAGTAATAGAGAAGTTAATTTATCTTCATATTCTTGTGTTATCTATTTTCATGGTCTTCTCTCACAATCTGAAATAAAAAAATTATCATGCAATATAAATTTCAATCATGTGTAAAAGAGTTAAACCAAAAACAATTTTCAAACATAATTAAAACAAAAAATTAAATGCATATCCAAAGATTTCAAAATTTTCAAAATCTTAATAAACGGATAACGGATAACGGATATCCGAGTTTAAAATTTTATATTATCCGGATCCGTATCCGAAATAACCGAATACTTAATTTCACTATCCGGATCCGGATCCAAACTACACGAATATCCAGTTTTTGCGGATCGGATAGGATCGGATACTGGATCGGATAGCGGATACCGGATAATAATTCCAGCCCTAATGTCAATGTTGTATATCCATTATATATCATCCTGATTGGATATCTACCTACACTTCTGATTTTTTTTTTTTTTAAATTATATATGTGTTTTTGAAAAATTTCTTGTTTGATAAATAAATTATAGTATAATGGGTCTTAAAACAACGAGAAAATGAAATTATAACTCATTCTAATAAAAAAATTGTTTTATATCTTTCACAATACAAAAAAATATAAAACAAAACAGATGAGAAAATATAATTATTATTTTTAAAATCTAGGTTTAATATGCTATCCACTTCTTCGAATCCACCTTATCGTATCTACGAAAGACAATTTCGAATTATTTGGACGTAAATAGTGAAATAAGTTACCCAATAGCTGAAAATTACTCTTTTTGTTATTTGAACTATAAAAGTGTTTTCAGTGTAATTATCTCTTGAAACTAACCAGAATTAAACACTAAAAAATCTATAAAAAAAAGAGAGAGAAACAAATAGCTACTAACTTGCTAGAACTATATTTTGGCATATAGGGAGTTCATCATTTTACATTTCTTTACAAAAGAAAAAAGGTTCAACTTTAAGAAAAAAAAGACAAAAAATAATCATAACTAACATCTTTCAAATCAAAACCTCCTTTATGTTTTTTTTTAGCATGGAATCTCCCACAGATTTCACAATCATTGGTTTTTGGTTGTTTATCTAAGCTAATATGGGTGCTTAATCAATTTATATCTGATTTTGGAAAGGAAATTAAATTGAGAACCAGATTTTATCTTTTAATTGATGGAAGTATAAACGAGAAATCAAGCCCCTAATACAAAGGGTCAAAGGGAGTGAAGCTGGATGTCAATTAATAAAGTGAAGACAGTAGGCTACAACTAAAAAAAAGTCCACAAGCTTAGACGAGACTTTGAAAAGAAGCTAGGTAGTGAATTATCAAGAAACAAAACAAAACAAAACAAAAGAAGCATTTATAAAAATGGAAATGATGAGAAGAGAGAATCAACATCATGATAATCAACATCAAAACAATGATAACAAATGAGCAAATCAATAGCACGGTGTCTTGGTAGTGGGAGAAATGGACTTAGCGGCGCCTCCTAAAAGGGCCCCAATACTTTGACTTTCACCACCAAATTTTCCGGTGACTCATTATTGTCTTTTTGTGTTATGTTTTACTTATTATCTAATCCCTTAAAAGTAATTATGTATTCTTTTAGAGAAGAAGAAGAAGACCTGGACTTAATCACATGGTTAAGTAATTTTTAGTCCGGTCCATTCATGTATGATATAAATTAGTAAATTACACTTTCTTGTAGCCATGTGGGCTAGTCTTGAATTAGTCTAGGTGTGTTAAGAATGTAAATGTAGTTTGATTAGGGATGGGCAAAAGAAAACCAAAATTCGTGTAACTGAAACCAAAATGAACTTTATTTTAGCTCGAGTAGTAACAATTTTACTAAATTGATGGTAATTGAGCTTTTCTCTATGTTTATATGGCAACAAGAAATTACATGGCTTTGACTCTTGATTTCTGTTTAGGATAAAATGTTAATGGCACTTGAATAACTTCACACTGATTTTTATTTTACACAAACATCTCTGCATATACAATGACTAAAGATTCTTATCAACACACAAACTATTCTTCTTGGATTTTGCATAACACCAAAGTGAAAACAATCTTAAAGAGTATCCATGCATTTAACACCAATCTATCTCAATCACGGGCAAGCTCAAATATAAATGGTTGTATCACTTTTGATCCTTGAGTTTCTCGTTTTGAATGTACTTTAAAACCCCATAAGCAGTTGTCCCAGCTACAAACAATCCAACCGTTGGAGTAAACACTGGATACACATACTTGACAAACAACTTATCCAACTCTTCTGGGAGGAAACCTGCATCGCCAAAACGAATCACAAGTAAGAGAAGTTATTCTTTCTCGATCGATGAATCTTTCAGGTGAAAAAAAGGCAAAGGGTACACAGTTAATCTGTCCATTACCAATGCAACATTTCTATTCTGTACCACCAAAAGGAACAGAGACCAAGAAAATTAAAATCTTGATGGAACACAACAAGTAGAGCAAAAGAGACAAGCTTGACTATAATTCATAGTCTATATACACTTAGAAATGCCAAGAGACAAGTGACTATAACTCATAGTCTATACACTTAGAAATTTAAAGAGATAAGCTTCTCAAAATGAGACCAGACTACACTCTTGTATGATATCTTCCAAGACTACTAAGAAGATGTATCCACTTGAGTATTCACTATCCTTGTAGCTAAATCTTAGTAATTAGCTCAATTTCGAAGTTAGAATCAGAAATCTCACTGAATTAAGCAATCTAACAAAAATTAGCTACGCAAAAACCCATTAGAGACTTCCAAATCAGCTTCTCTGGAAATTTGTAGTCTACTAAGCGATTTGTAAGAAGAAATGAATCACCAAAAACCTAATGAATGTTCTCGGCTAAGAATAATTTCGAAAATTCGCAGATTAGTAGTACCTGAAGAGGCTAGAATAATCCCTTCGATGAGGATGAGGGCCACCAAGCCCAAGCCATGTGAGAAGAAACGCATTTTTCGTTCCGTCTAAGCTCCTCTGCCTTGGCCGCTCCTTCTTCGCTAATGAAAACCGGTTTCTCCACAGGAGAACGCCTAATTACCTCTCTCTTCCCTTTCCCTTTCCTAGAAGATGAAGATGAAGAAGATGAAGAAGCCGGTGACCCGAATCCTACGCCGGAGGATCCCGGTTTCCTTGGTTGAGCTGGATCCTCTGTTGTCTCGGTTTCGATTTGGGGATTCTGACATTTGATTTCGAATCTAGGGTTTCTGCTCGTCAAGAGATGATGGAGATGATAGGGTCTCGTGGAGAAGGAATACGAAGAGTGGATTTGTAGCGCCATTTTTTTTCAGTTGATTTTGTTTTGCGGTAGAATAATGATCTCGTTAAGGATATTGTTTTTGTTTTTCTTCGTTTTCTAACTCCAAACGACGTCGGATACCCCTAAGTCGGTTTAAATTGGTTCAATCTCTGTTCGGTTTTTGTTTGAGTCGGAGATAACTTTCATTTCGTCAGAAACTAAAATTTTCTCCACAATTTTCTTCCTTCTCGATTCAACAATTCGAGTTTTTTGTTTTTTTTGTTCAGGTATCTAATTTAAGATTCATAAATTTTGAATCCAGTTTTCCCAGTTCGGTTTGGATCGGTTTAACGTAACCAAAAAAGAAATCACTTGTGTTGTGTATAAACGACAGAATCACTATATTTGTTTTGCTACGACAACAATTCCGGGAAAATTAAGACTACAAAAAATCATCTGTGATATTTTTAGTCTCAGCTCATTTTTTTTTGTTTTTTTTGGGGTCAAAGTCTCAGCTCATTTAAAAGGCATGTGGTTGCCGGGATTATGCCTTCACCATGAACACTAATGATCTCTTTACCTGCAAGATCCATGAGAAGCTCAGCTGGAGCTTTAGCTCCTCCATGTTTGAAGAACTTTTCTCTGAGCAATGTTCCCGTGCTCAACGAAAGCGGATCTTCTTCGCATATCGATTGCCAGATCGTAGACGCAAAGCACTTGGCGTATAAGTAGCTATAGTAACCTGCACATAGACACCAGAGTTTTGAAACATCTGCACAAAAATATAAAAAAAACACTTGTATGTATTTATTTAGAGACCTGCTCCATAGTTAAGTAGGTGACTGAATCGGATATGCCAATGTGTTCCTTCGACATGGTTCCAGCTCGTGTGTTCCCTTTTCAGTTCAGCCACGAGTTGACTCACGTCTCTTGCTGTCTCTGGTTGTTCCCCAAACAGCATTTGGTCGATCAACGCATAAAACACCTATAAAAAACCCAAACAGAATCTGACTTTTGATCTCTCTATAACCCATTTTTTTGGTTTTCTGCATTTGAGGATTGAATCAACTAATCAGACCTGGCGTTGCAGTTCAGTTGCTGCAAACATGTTCCTCGCACCTTGTAATGAGTTTACCAACTTCTTGGGTATTGTCTCACCGGTTGAGTAATGCCGGGCAAATCTCTTCAGGAGTCGATAGTCCCATGCATAGTACCTAAGGGACACATGAGCACAATCAGAAAGGTTTTGCAACTTAAATTAAAGAGTATTGAAAGTCGAGAATTATACTCACTCAAATAGATTTGAAGGCATTTCCGCCAAGTCAAGAGCCACCCTGGTACCGGAAAAATGCTGGTACTCCTGTAAAATCCAGAAAACAGAGCAATCAGAAAAACAAGAACAAAGTTTGGAGGGGGATTGTAATTAGCTTTCTGTGTTGATTGATTTGCACAACACCGTTCTTGAGAGCAGAGAGTGAAGTGCGTGGCCGAATTCATGGAACAAAACTTCAACATCAGAGTGGTTAAGCTTGACGACTGACGAATCACGAGCTCGCGAAAAATTGCAAACAAGAGCCAAAACCTGCAACAGGAACAGATCAACAGGCAGCATGTAAGAATATGACATTTTTTGGCCGGAATTTTTAACTATACACTTAATGCAATGAAGGAAAAGAAGATGAATTTGATCAAGCATACAGGGAGTTGGTATTCTGTCTCCGAAATCCTGCGTCCTCCTTTGATTGCAAAGCTAGCACACCCAGGGTATTTTCCTTTTCTTGAGTACAAGTCAAGGTAAAGATACCCTAGATCACCCTGCAAGAGACAGTGGCATGATTTAATTGGCCATCTTCGAATAAACTATGATCTGTGGATTATCTTAGTTTTGTAAACAACATACCTCGTCCGGGTGATGAAGAGACATTTTAAGCACATCTGGGTGCCAGGATTCACCTGGGGCGAGAGGAAAGGTATGAAATGTTGCACCAAACAATGATTCAACAAGCACTTTTAGGCCTTCAATACACTGAGGCAGAGGAAAATATGATGCTACAACCTGTACAAGAATATTCCAACAGAGCATGATAAGATAAATCTATGAAACAGCTCCTCTAGGGAAAGAAAAAATAACCAAAATAAAGATATGGAAACAACTTACAGCGGTGTCCACATCATTGACGGATGATTTCATCATTGAAGTATAGTAAGTTTCATCCCATGGCTCTAATTCTGCAGATATATTACCACATTTCTCTCTTTTAAAGTCTCTAATCGCTATGTATTCCTACAGAGATGGGAACATGTTATTAGAGCCTTAATACTCCATAACAAAAAACATCAGAAAACAGCCAGCTTTTGCAGATATAGTGCGAAGGCCAGCTTACTTCGTCCGCCTTTGGTTTGACTGTCTTGCTCAGTTCTTGTAGGAAGGACGTCACAACCTTTGGCGATTTTGCTAGGTTTGGCTCGACCATAAAGTCAGCATAAGACTTACACCCCATCATCTGAGAGCAACAAAAAAAAAAAGCTATGGCAATACGTAAGTGCAATCTTACAACACAGGGACATATACTACAAAGAATCATAAATGAACATGTACTAACGTGGGCAAGCTCATGGCGTGAAGCAATAAGCTTCTCAAGAACTCCGTGATTTGCATGAGGAACAGAGTTCCCTTGAATATATACCATTTTTCTAACCTGAAAATAGAGGTATTAAATTACAGTGGTGCATAGCATAATAATGCAACTTCAAAGCTCATTTCCCGATTTTTGATACAACACCACACTAAAGTAGAAAACGCTTGTAAGTTACCAATTAGAACTGTTTAATCTCCCACTTCTATCCCTGAGGTTCGGATGTCAGAAAAAAAGAAAATAGAACTAAATAGGTAAAGTAGGCACCTCTTCGTCTGATGTCCATTGCAAAATGGAAGAAAGGGTTCGTAAATCGGTAGTTATTCGAAATCCCTTCTCTTTCGAGCTATGAACAGATCTTTTAGACCCTCTTAGACCCCCTGAAGTGGATCGGTAGATAGGGTTGAGAAGCTGATGCAGATGTCGAGGGATGCGTGATCCTGGAAATATATCAACATGTCCTGGATCCTCAGCAATATTTTCGCTGAACCTGAATATGGATCATACGGAAGTTAGCACTAACAGCACAAAGCACTACAATAATTATGGAGTTTCCATAGAATCGATACTTGTGTATTCATGGGTACTCACTCACAGCACAGCTGAAAAATGTTGGTTGTTAAGTTATTCACTTTATCTAGTTTCTCTGCGAATAATAAATAAACAGACACCAAAAAAGGAATTCAACATCAAGTACAACAGCCACATTATAAAGGGCAAAAAAAACCAACCGCAATAGATATAACAAACCAGGGTCTAGATGAATGCCACCCCTTTCAAAGTCCATTCGGAGGTGATGTGCGGTCCTACTTGCTTCTTTGGTAAGCAAGTTGGAATCTTGCTCTGCTTTTTTCACCGCAGCATACAATGTATGGTTTGTGTTAAGATGCTGAACATCAACAACACAACGAAAATGTCACTGGAGTAAGTTAAGAGATTCCCAAGAATAAACATCACACTCAACTGTGTCTACTGTTATGGATGAGATTCTAGACTGAAAACAGAATTGAGACTGCAGATCTTTTCAAACAATGTGTATGCATGCCTAAACAAGAAAAGTGTTCAAAGATGAAGGTATTCCATATATTTTATTTGAAAAAAATATGTCTCCATATTAGGCATTCCAAGATTCAAATGCATAAAAAATCGAAGTTGAGCAAATCCTTGGTCACCTCACATGTAGATAATCATTCATTTCCATTGCTGCTTTATGAGCTGCCTCAACAAATTCCCTATTATATCAAGCAAAGTAACGCAAGATCAATAGACCATTAAACAAGTATGTAAGCTCAGAATAAGAAAGAAAGAGACCTGTCAGGATGGGTTTGTCTACAGAGTTCAGCAGAGTCAACAACAGAACAAACCTAAAAGATTCAGATTCAGGAGACAGAAATCAGTATTACAAGAAACAACAGAAGCTTGTAACAAATAACACAATAAGAACTAAACCGCAGAAAGAACCTACCGTGTCTGAAATCTCATCCATGGCTTTAATAATCTCTGGAGACGAAGGCATTCCTGATATGTAGCTCACCAACTCTCCAGACCTAAGAAAATGGTTCCAGAAACTTTTCTTCAATAATCAAATAACATCACTACACATCACAGTCAGTCTCTGCCACACCATCCCATCAATTTCAATGGCTATAATGCAATCAGTGACAAAGAGAATTCACTTCCACTCTACAAACCGAAAGTAACTCAAAACAAAGACTAATCTGGAATCGTCTTTACGATGAGAATCATACCTTTCAATGGCATCGGCGACGAAGCGGTGAAATCCGTTGGCCGTCTTAAGATGATCGAAGCCGTAGAGACCAGTGGGTTCTCCACTCCGGAAGTTTCGAATCATCCATCGGGTCGAATTGATATGCGGACGCAATCGCTGCGTCAGCCTCCACATTTCTTCTCTCTACTACTTTCTCGCGGCTTGACACGGAGGACCGAAGCTTAACGTTCAGGTTTTGGTAGGGGACAAAAGCGTTGTGCCGTCGTGAAATACGTGCCGTTTAGAGATAACTAAAACGGCACAGTGTTCTGAACTGGAGCTGGAAAACCACAAAGTCCACAACAAAGCCCACAAACAATACAAAACTAAGCAGTTCAGTAAGTATCAACACAATAGCCCATCATTATTAGATTAAGAAAACAACATAACAAAAAGACCACAGTATAGATGACAAATCCGAAAAAAAAAAGAAAAAAAAACCATACTAATTTCCAGATGTGTATGATTTTCTCCAAAATTAAAGCTACTTACACATAAAAAATCCAAACCAGCTTTCAGCAATAACAAATGTTTCAGTTTTTTTTTTTCTTTAAATTTAACCTAAATAGTAATTGACTTATAATGATAACTAGTGATTTGGCCTGTATTCTGTGCGGGCTCGAGTTGTTATTTTATAAAAAAACAGTCAATTCTTACCTTTACTATTCTAAATGGTGCATATTCCTAC